TTCGGGGGGGGGGGGGGGGGGGGGGGGGGGGGGGAATGAAGGAAGACAAATGGCACCACGCTTCACTGCACCCGCTCAGCCGCCGCCACCTGTGAGATTAGGGTCAGCAGATAAGACACAAGGCCCAATAACCCAGCCAGAGAAGCCACACTCCATGGGAGGGGGTGTATACCAGGGCGGGGCCACAAGCCCCAGCTGATTGGCTCCCAGAGTGGAACCTCACCTGTCACTTGCTGAGAATGCTGGACCCTCTCTATAAAGTTTTAGCCCCGCCCCATTTGAAAAGTCTACAGGTCTGGTTTCCCCGGCCCTCGACACGCTAGCTGGTTAGTGTTCAGCCACAGTGCACAGTGGGCTGTGTCTCACCTCTTTGGGCAGCAGGGAGATGAAGTCGCGCTGGAACTGCGGCTCGATCACCTGCATCATGTGCTTGACCTGCGTGGGCTCGCAGCTGTCGATGAGCTCGTCTAGCGCCAGAAGCTTCTCCGTGCCGCTCCAGCTCTGGGGGGGGGAGTCAATGCATGTGAGCGTGTGCGTGTGCATGCGTGTCACCAGTACAGATGTAGACAAAGTCACCACCAAAATAACATCTACTTTAATAAACACTGTGGGGGGGGATCAAAGGATAAAAGCCAAAATCTTCCATCTGTTTTCATATATTGCCGGTGTGACCCACAGAATCGTTAAGAGCCGTTAACGGCTTTCTGGTGAGTTAACGGAGAGTCTTTCCCAAAGACGCTGTGACAGAAGGCTCCGTGCGCAAGTGTGAAAGCCCCCCGGTTGCCTCAGTCGGCCGTGCCAAGTGAGAGCCATTCCGCCAGGGCCATGCCCCCCCCCCACCCTCCCACCCTGGTCCACGAGTAGCAACGAACAATCGCGAGCGTAAACAATGGGGCGCTAACAGGATGGTCACCGCCTTAACAACATTTACAGAGGGGGGGGCAGCCAGTGCCCAGCCGCTTGGCAGAACCGGGCCCCGGAGCAGGCCCTGTGCTGCAGGACAGTCTAATTGCAGCAGTCAGGACCAGGCATTGGTGCTCGATGCTCGATGCTAAGCCTACTCTGTATTCGCCGTTGCCATAGATACATCTCAACAGAACCGAGCACCTGGAATCCAGAGTTTTTGTTAAATGGCGGAATTATGACAGACCAGGTCCCCCACGTTCGTTCAGGTAACGAGATCCGCGGAAATCTACCACGGACTATGAAATTAAAAATAAATCACAACTCCGCAGTGAACACCTATCAAATATCCAGCCCAGATGTTTAAACTTTACACTAATTAGTGACTCGCTTAAACAAGATGGATCTCCGAGGCACCATTACCGTGGAAACAGAGAGGCGCGACAGGGAAGAGGTGGGAGGGGTGGGCCCGCTGCCTTAACGAGGTCCGTCACTGGGACCGACCTGTCAATCCTCAGACCCGGCGGACCGGGGGGGGGGGATTACACCAACAAATATCATACCTGTTCTGTCGTGGAACTGGGAATTACAGTTCCATTCGTGAGTAAAGTTGCCCGCTAGCACTACTGTGGCTGGTAATCCTTATGACGCAACGCAGAAAGCTGACAAGGGGTCCGCAATTATCTCGGCTACTGATTGGACGTTAGCATTTGGTGAGTGGGTGGGGCCTGTGTTCACCTGGAAGGTCCGCAGCCATTCCTGCAGGCCACTCGGAGGCTGGATGGAGGTGATGCGCCGTCGCTGCTGCCCCTGTCCATTGGCCGCTCGCAGGTGTCCGAAGGTGGTGGGCGTGGCCGAGTACGGGACAAGCCCTGCGGGGCTGCGGGGGCAACCAATCGGGGGAGAGCACTGAGAAACGGGTACAGCATGCACTCGGCAAGACGTCAGAGGGACTCTGCTGCTCCACAGATGAATCACCACAGCAGTAATGCGCATTTCAGACCATTAATGATTCAATGTGAGCATACAGCCATGTTTCTGTACACAGTATAATTAAAAACCACATCAAAAGGTCGGGGAAACCAGCAATTTAATGGGAGCAGACTTTTCAAATGATGCTCTTGGGGGCGGGGGGTGTAGAACTTTCCAGCACGCGGTGTGTGTGTCCCCTCCCTGTCTACATAATGCGAGGAGGGGGGGATTCTTTCATAGCGGGCACCCAGGTTACGGTCATTATAAGCTAGCCCTGTCCAGGAAGCCAAGCATCACCGGTTGACAGTGGCACGGAAACTTCCGGAGAGGGGTGGAAGCGTGAACGTCTCACTGGAACTAGATAAGAGTCCCTGTCTTAGCTGTCATTTCAAATGGTGGAAATTTGCAGAGAAGGCAGCGCCGATGTAGACCGAGCAGCCGAGAGCGCTGCGTGACGCCGTTCTCGTTTCCGGGGCCGTGACGGAGGGCTGGGAGGACCCCTGCTTCCGGGGAGATGGCCCAACCATCAAGGGCTTCATAAACCACGAGGGACGAGATATTTATATATCATATGCATTGTCTGCTGCTGCCTCGTGCTTACACAGGGCCAGCAGCAGGAAAAAGCACTCAGAGACTGCATGGTATAGGTGCTGGGGGGGGGGGGGGGGACTGGGGGCTGAGCTTGGGTTTGCCACCTGGCCCCCAGGGAGATGGTGTTGCTGAGGAACTCAGGCCATAACATGGCGCAACCCTGCATAAACACAAATTTCCCCCATTTTAGTGGATTCCTAGTAAAAAAAAAAAACAAAGAAAACCAGAACCTTTATTTATGCTGACAGCACAAAAGAGTCAAAGGGATAAAAGGGAAACATCAAATGATTCCGGGAACAAAAAGGAATCTGCGGCGGGACGGACTAACGTCTCCACCGAGAGCGGGGCGGCCGCCTGACATTAAAGGGGCGCGGCTTACAGTAACGCCCCACGTTAATTAGCACATAAATGTTATTTACTAGCATCGCTGCTTCTTTACTGACATAATTGGAATAAGGGCAGGGGGGGGGGTGTTGTGCCTTCTGCAATCCACAAGCGCAATGCAACCTTCAGACCAGCATTACAGGAGCCCTCCCCTTCCCCGGGGGGGGTGACGATCACTAAATGGTTAACGTGATTGATGCTAATAGGATGTTAATTACGTCTTTTTAAACACACCAAAGACATTAGGGAGACACTGGACCTGGGATGCGTGTCAGTCCCATCAAAGGGATTCCTGTTTTCAATGCAGGCGTCCAATCACTGCACAAAGAGACCCCCCCCCAACCCCCTTCCAGCCCATTTTCATTTAGCCCAAGCCACCACGGAACAGAGAGGGGGTGGGGGACAGGCAGCCCGTCTGTCACAAATCCTGTGCCCATCACACATGTGTAAATCAGACGAGGCAGCTGAGGTTCATGTGTGTGTGTCTGCACGTGTGTGTGTCAATGTGAGCGTGTCTCATTCTGAGCGTGTGTGAGTGTCATTGTGAGCATGTGTGTGTGTGTGCGTGCGTGTGCGCTTGTGCGACGCGCGCGCTTTACCTCGGATACTCCGAGCCCTTGCACGGCTTTTTTCCTGAAGGGAAAGATCGGACCTCGGGGCCATGGTCCAACTTTCTCTTCATCTGCAAGACAAAAGGGGGAGGGGGGCACCGTTTAGCACGATTAGGGACAGCGAAGGCGATTTACACTCGGCCAACAGTGGCACACAAAGACCCCCACGCCACACACATCAGAGAGCAGGACCCGGGCCTTACTACAGCCAGCCGGACCCTTAAAGGGTTTTATGCGGAACGCCAGCCCCACACACAAAGGACACCCCCTCCCCCCCAATGCATTTACATTTAAAGGGGCTGACATTGCTGAACGAGGGGTGTGAGAGACTGGGAGGAGGAAACGAGAAACAGGGGGGCGGGTGTAAAACACCCCGGCAATGGTTATCGACTGCGTTCCCCTCACGCTGAGCTTGGGCCTGTTTTCTAAAGATGGGGAGGAGGTGTCATCAAATTAAACCACCACGGATGTACCCCCCGAAGTCCCCATGTGAGGGGGAGGAGGCAGAGAGGAGCCTCGGCATCAAGACACATCGCCACCCCACCCCCCTCCCCCGAGGACGAACTGGGGGGGTTTGTCTATGGGACGGAGCCTGGCATGGCACTAACAGAGATATCCCAGAAGGCCTTGCTGCTAAGAGGAAAGCAATAACTACACGTGCCGAGTGGAGGGTGACAGCCAGCCAATGAAAACAAACGACACGAAATGAAGACCCTGCGTTCCGAGTAACCATCAGGCAGAAGGTTCCTGTGTATGAAACACTGACGACAAGGGCCCGCATGGGGAGGATATTAAAGGGCATTGTCTGGTCTCAAGCAGGGACCCCTGCTTAATTTGTATGGACAATTAACGAGGGGGCAAGAGTGAGCAATCAGCCCCCCCCCCCCCCGAGTCAAGCTCGGAATCCAGCGGGGTCCAGGCGGGACAGTGAGGAGCCACTGGGGGACAGTAGAGGACATCCGGAGCGATGTCAAGGTGCTCCGGTGCAGGGCGGCTATTTTTAGGAGGCACATTAAACGGAACGTGTGCGCTGCGTCTCCCCCAGCCCCACCCCCCTTCCTCAGCACCGGGGTCTTTTTCGAAATCGTATTCCGCTCTTCGGGGTTCAGGGATCCGACGGCGCCCGCGGGAGTCACCAGCATAAAAACCGATTTCGCTCTCTGAAGGCGCCGGCAGGGGGCTTGGGGTGGGGGGGCTTTCCGGAAATTAATAAGACTCAGAGCCGCCTGCGTTCCAGCGGGACGGGTTTTGGCTCAGGCCGGCCGGTGGTGCTTTAAGAACTGCCCCCCCACAAACACACACAAACCACACACACAGTGCAAACATGTATTATTACAGAACACACTGGGAACCCAATGGATTAATTATGTAATCCACCAATACACACAACAATATTACTCGGGACAGACCCAAGGAGCTGAAACCTCCTGACGTTCCCGGCAGAGCCAGGCAGCTGTGGTGTCACCATGGAAGCCATTCATCTCTTTGGGGGGGGGGTCGTGATGCGTATACGATGGTCTGACAAGGTCTGAATCCATTCCCGTTGCCCTGGAGTTAGAGCGAGCACCACTAAATATTTCACCCAGACCATCAACGTGTCAAGAACACCTGGCCTCAGCGATGGGGGGGCTGTTTCTACATGTGACCACACCCGGGTTTGATAAAGACTCTTGGGGGGAGGCGGGAGTATCCCTGATTATGTGCCATCATGCAAACAAGGCTACTAAGTGACTATTAACAAAAGCGACGAGAAAAAAACCTGACAGCTGAGAATGAGACGCTCACTACACTTAATACTCCCAAAGCTCACATTTTATATACTTTCCCCTTCTTCTGAGGATGTGGTTTGTTTTATTACATGGTTTTTCTGGCCGGGCTCTGTCCTTCCAAACCTCATTTCTGTTCCCAGAGCAATGATCTCACTGTGATGGCAGTCAAGGGTGCAAGAGGAGTGGGAGTTTGTGTGTGTGTCTGTGGGGGGGGTGGTTGGGGTAGAGAGTCACAGGGTGACAGGGGGGCAGACATCTGCTGGGCTGGAGCCCAAGCACACCCAGTCACCGGTGTCCCAGGCTGAGGGGTTGTTTGTAAACCCTGGCTGATCAGACAGCCCCCCCCCCCCCGCACTCCCTCTTGGGAGATGTAGAGCAGACAGTAACAGCAGAAAGGCAGCTTCCAGCTTACTGGTACTGCACAGGCGAAGGATACGAGAGTGTAGTTTTCCCAATTTGTATTACTAACCTTTTAATTTTTGCGAGAAACTGTTACAGAAAACCACCACTTCCCCCGATTCCCCCATCAGGTGCCTTTTTGGAACTAAAAATAAGTTACATTGATTAATCCTTCATGATTCTGAATGACCTACACACCTGTAACCTAAGTCAAGATAGTTAAATAAAAATAAATATTATGCGTGTATTGTACATGGAGTTCAGGACAAGATTCCAGCCAAACCAGCAGTCAGCATCACTCATTACATTTTAAGATTTATTAGTCATAATCAGAATGACTCTACGATCTGAGTTCAACCAAACAGGTGCAAGAAAATATAGGACAGTGTACGCAGGATATTGTACACGTATGTGTACGGACACACACACACACCCAAACAAATGCAACTTGCCTTTACACTCCCTATTAGATGCGCTGGAATTACCAGAAAAACGCTCTAGGTCCCCACACCCCTAAAACCACAACAAATCAGTCTGACACGCACTCACACACAAAAACACACTTTATTGCGGCGACCAGTACATTTCGTACATAGCATGATAAAACCGCGCGCTTAGCGTCAGTTTCTCCTGAGCATAAAGATATGACCTAACATAATAAGAAACGCGGACTAAGTTAACCGCTTAAAAGGCTTGAGCGCTGTTCCCAAACACCCGGATCGGAGGGCGCCCCGCAGCGCGGAAAAAGCTCCCGTTTTACCGAGTACAAGCGCCGGGATGGCTGTCAGCCTCACGGCGGACTCGCCCGGTACTGACACGGCAACCCATTATCCGGATTATCGGCACTGTTTGTATGCCCGCTAACACTTCCATTAAACCCACTTACAGACTCGGGTATCCCTGACACACGTTCCCAAGCACAACACACAGGCAATGGGGACGAAATTCAGCTCCGTCAATCAGGGAGCAAAACCTGGACAAACACGCACCAGGTTCCGCGATTTACGCCCATTTATATCCGCAGTGGAACATGCTTTGCCCCATTACAAACGGCGGCTTGGATCCGTCCCGGACACTTCCTAAGCCACAATCCGCAGCCTCGTAGGTACAGCCATGCAGGTGCGGTCCGATGCGTTAACCTATCATTGATTCGGCGTACAAAACAACATTTATTTTAAACTCAGCCGGAAGATCTGCTAATTTAGAAGAAATGCGGTGTTTTGCAAAAGCACCGAGAGAATGTGTCCATGGACAGCCCGGCTTTAAAGAGGGCAAGCGTCACTGTTATTTACAGTTACATGGGAAACGAGGCGAAAATCGCCCAGTTTGTTTTCAGATTGCATGTTACATAAATGCGAGGGTTTCCGCTCCATGTGTCCCCCTTAAGCCGGCGCGATCGTAAATGTATCCGCTTCGTATCAGAAATGGCTGGAGACACGGGAAGCGCTCGCATTAGTCACACCGAAATACGCCAAAAAGGAAGCTGAAACACTGCGACAGCAGCCTGGGGAGGCGTGCTGCAGGTAAGAGACAAAAGCCGCAGAGCGCCCACCTTACTCACTTTATAGAAAATCATCTTTAAAGTGCCGTAGAAACCCATGGCGGCGAATCCTGGGTCGGTGCCCTTCTTCACGCCCTGCAGACGGAGCTCCGGTACCTCAGCCCGGTAGGTATTCTCTGACAACGCGCGATTGGCTCTCTCTCAGGCGGATCCGACACGGTCTCCGATGTGGACATGCTCCGGCATGTAGCCGAACCGGTGAGGGATTCAAAAAATTAATTTAAAAAATGGAAAAAGGAAATGAAAAAGGGGGGAAAATCTCCGCCGTGTCACTCCAGCTGAAGCTCCGTGACTAGCCGATACGGCAGAGCTCGCCCGACTGCCAGCCCTCGAGGAAATGATAGGAGTAGGAGGGGGGTTAAAAGAGAGAGAGAGAGAGAGAGAGAGAGAGAGAGGGAGAGAGAGAGACACAGAAGCGGCTCTAGCGACGGATAGGGGGCCGGAAAACCGTGCCCGATCCCGAGCCGCAACTACGAGACTCTGCGAAGGGATCCGATTGCATCTTCCCCAGCGGTGAGAGCCCGGATGGTGCAGTCCGGCTGTCCGCGGTGCTGCGCAGCGCAACGCGGCGGGAGCGGCAGCAGTGCGCACACGGGCGTCCGGCCCGGGGGAGCGTAGCAGAGCTGAGCTTCTCACTTGTTGCCCGTCTTCCCACCCTAGCCGAGCGGTACCCCCCGCCCCCGTCTCTCTTTCCTCGTCACTGGGCGGATGGTATTTTTGGTCTCTGTGCCCGCTTTATAATCAGAGCTTTTACGGTGTTTTGGAGCGGAGCGACATGAGGGGTGTTTATAAGTGGTTAAGGTTTAAAGGAGCACGCCTCAAAGGATCAGGGGGCGTTTAAGAGGCACGAATTCGTCACAAAATCAAATGTTTAATGCCAAAATGCTTCAAGCGTGTAAATACGCGAATACAACGTATACCCATATTTACAATCAGTTTTGTCATGCAACACGCTCCCAGTACTGGCATGCTAGCTTTAATACGCACGTATATAAGTAAGACGTATCTGAGTGTAGGCGGGTACTTGCATACGCTTGTGTGCATATATTGCCTACGGATAAGGGTCCTTAGTTTATTTTTGTGACATAATACGTTGTGGTTTATGGAAAAAAGGTGCTGAAGCTCTTTAAGTGGCAGGGTGGTCTGCTCTCTAAAATGCAAATGAATATCCGCGAGAGGAAAGAAAATGGAATGACGGGAGTTTAAAAAAAAAAAAAAAAAAAAAACCTAAGTTAATCAGTATCTCACCTAGAGAGTGATGAAAGGTTTTTTAAAAGAACAAGATTCCCCTTATTAACTTTCTGCCGCTTTCGCAGAGTCACGGAGCTCTGTCCTTGGTTAT